CGAAACGTATGAATTTAACTTAAACGTTAAACCTTAATCATTAAACATTATAGTCTCGAGGTTTATTAGGTATCAAAAAATCCAACAAACCATTTATAAATAGAGATGAGGAAATAATTTATTTAGCATTTTAACTACTTAAATAATTATTTATTAAGTACTATAACTATTAACTTATTTACATGCAAGTAGTTTCAATTATGCTAGCTGTACATTGAAAGGGTGCATTAAAGTTGACATGATGTGAATTGTCAAAACTTGTGTCACTCGTTATTTAGCCCCTGTTTGGTAACCATTTTGGCCAAAAATGAGAATGTATTTTATGACCGTTGGATACACAAGTCAAAATTATTGTGAGATGAAAGTCAAACTTGTCATGTCATTTGGGGCCCACTAACGGCTTTTTTTTTCTTAAAAATGAAGGCAAAATGGGAAATAAAGTAGTGTTAAAATTAATGTAGAAAAAGTATGACTTCACGACAAGAATCATGCTATGGGTACATAGATGTACATATAGGGGTTCACATAATGTGAGTGAGGGTGGGGCCCATGCTACAATATCGCGAGGTCCACCCCACTCACATTATGTGAAGCTTTATGTGTATATTTATGTACAACTAGAATAATGCTCGCGACAATATCAAATTTAAAGTCAAACGTGATCTATATATAGCTTTATTGAAATAGTTTTAACAGTAGACAGAAAGGCTCCAAAGCCGTACTAACCCTTATATATTAAACCGCCACCGCCATCTCTGTCACCCGCCGCTGCTATGGGGAAGCAATGGATTTCACAGTTATAATATTTTCCAAGGTTTCGGTATCCTTCAATCAAGTACCAAGAGTTAGTTACACATGATAGATCTAAGAAAAAATAGAGAGAAAGAAGATTGGAGAGGTTCTAATGTGTTTTTGGGCGTTTTTCTAGGCTTTTCGTGGCTCAAACATACAAAAAAAAACCCTAATTTGCGCTGCACAGCTCCTAGGCACTATGGGAGCAGCGCCTAGGCGCTGAAAATCTGTTCTTTCTAGGTAACACAGCGCATGGGCGCTGTGTTGTAGCGCGTGGGCGCTGTGTTGCTGTTTCAAATTATGCTTTATCTTTAGTTTTTTCATCATAACTTCCTTTCCCAATATCCGATTGAGATGATTAAAGATGCGTTGAAAAGATGACAAAGGAATACAACTTTTCTTCAGATACTATCTTCGAATTCGATCATTTGCAATATCAAAAACTGGTCTCAAGATGAGGCTAAAAACCGGTGCAAAACTTTTCAGCATGAGAGTTGATATATGATAATGTTTTGGTTATGTTTCATCTCTTTGACTCCTTCCTTCATCCAATTGACCTCTAACACTCTCAAATCTTCATCACAAGGTTAGAAGCAAGTTTAAAGTATTTACACTTTAGTCCCTTAACTTTCACTTTCTTCCAATTTGGTCCATTTTCACTTATTTCTACCAAATTACGTCATATCCATCAAATTGCCACCTAAACCAAAATATGAGATTAATAAGTACAATTTGACATAAAATAATCATACGAACATATTAAATAAAGAGGAAAAAAAATAAATGTAGAAGAACATTCAATACGCAAAAGATAAATCAAACAATAAGAAAACTATTTAGATCTCACAATATGTGGTTCCGAGGCTTCAATTTCCTTCGACCAAGCGTAGGAGTTTAGTTACATATGATAGATCTAAGAAAAAATAGAGAGGTTCTAATGTGTTTTTGGGCGTTTTTCTAGGCTTTTGTGGCTCAAACATACAAAAAAACCCTAATTTGCGCTGCACAGCACCTAGGCACTATGGGAGCAGCGGCTAGGCGCTGAAAATCTGTTCTTTCTAGGTAACACGGCACATGGGCGCCGTGTTGTAGCACGTGGGCACTGTGTTGCTGTTTCAAATTATGCGTTATCTTTAGTATTTTCGTCATAACTTCCTCTCCTAATATCCGATTGAGACGATTAAAGATGCGTTAAAAAGATAACTCAAAGGAATACAACTTTTCTTCAGATACTATCTTCGAATTCGATCATCTGCCATATCAAAAACTGGTCTCAAGATAAGGCTGAAAACCGGTGCAAAACTTTTCAGCATGAGAGTTGATATATGATAATGTTTTGGTTATGTTTCATCTCTTTGACTCATTCCTTCATCCAATTGACCTCTAACACTCTCAAATCTTCATCACAAGGTTAGAAGCAAGTTTAAAGTATTTACACTTTAGTCCCTGAACTATCACTTTTTTCCATTTTCACTTATTCCTTCCAAATTACGTCATATCCATCAAATTGCCACATAAACCAAAATATGAGATTAATAAGTACATTTTGACATAAAATAATCATACGAGCATATTAAATAAAGAAGAAAAACTATGCATTTTACATTCATATCATCAACGTAAGGACAACCCTTGGTCCTTATCCATCAATCGACCCATTACTTGATCCATACCCTAAATATGTAACACACACATCGTAAATGTACCCTAAGATATCTATTCTCAATATTACTGGTTAGCCCACCTAATACTAATGGACCTACTAAAGTGAGAACATGCCTAGTGTCAAACCTCACAATAACAATCCCAAGCATATGTACACACCAATCAAGTAGTCATTCATACAAATAGGATTTCACACGTGAATGCAATAAAATAGTAACAACAAAAGAGTTTTTCGTCAATAAACCTCACTTGGGTTGTGACTAGACCCAATGACAATGTTCGTCTCACCTCTCACTTTTTCATGCTGTTTATTATTCTTTTTAAAACAGTCTATTTACAAAATATTCAGTTTTACCACAGTTATAACATCTTTTACCTTTCACTTCCGACTTGTTGAACGAGAATGCCTTTGATCTTTTGTTGTTAAATCGAAAAATTACATTTGCCATTAAAAATATTCAACTCAAAATGTGTTTTCATTTTATCAAAAGATGCAAAAAACATAAAATGCAATCAAACAACAACCACAAGCAAAGTAGAGGCACAGATGACACAGAATAGCCAATCAAACATTCCTAAGGTCACATGCAATACTAATGTCGAGTAATAATATAGCCACGCTATCAATAATAAATCTAAAGCACAATATATAAAGCTCGCACAAAGTCTGTCACCAATGGTTACATCATATGGTAACCCTAAACCCAATGACCATTAATGCGAAAAGGTGAATGGCTACACCATACGATAGCTTTAATTGAAACAATAAAAGGAAAGATCACGATACCTAGAGAATCAATTTGTTGGTCCGTAAATAAATAGAGAGGCGTGAACTTTACAACTTTATGACCACCACTATTTACCTTAAAACTTTCAGCGGATGCAACTAACAAAGAATAAGCACCCGACAACCGAAAAATCAAGGGCAAAACTATCCAAATTCTACCTCACTGCACCCGACAACCGAAACATAGGAGTAACACTACCAGCATATCCGAAATATAGCCAGGAAAGAACTGTCTTTAGGGATAATCACTGGAACAGTGGCCAAGCACCCTCATGCACTCGCTACATGTAGCATTTACGCATCGCTGTCTTTGGTTTTCCACACATCGCAAGCGTCGAATAGGGAGCTTCGTCTCGTCATTTAGAGCAAGAATATTGTCTCTGTTCACTTAGTCAACACCTGGTTTGTCCAAAAAATGAACTTGCAGCTGTGGGTCGAAGGTTTTCAACAGTTTTTCACACATCTTCAAAATTCTTCTCTTCTTGATGGTTTTTCCCATGCCAAAGACACAAATGCCTTGCTCTGATACCAAATGTTGAAAAATATGCACCACCAAGTAACTTCACCGTGTGCGAAAACACCTTTGAAGATCACAAAGGTTATGGCTTAGTTTAAATCTCACCATAATGTTACTTCAACACTAGCAAGCTCAACCAAACACACCACAAAGTTTTTCCAAGAATAGTTTGTCCCATAAAGAGCTTGGAGTCCCACCAAGGGAGATGAAGGTGGCACTCACAAAGTGAAGAGAAGGTGAACATACGCTTACGCCACAATATTTCACATAGATGAAATAAACGACCATCTATGTTTTCTCCTTACCATTCTTGCATAATACAGATAGAATAGGAGGCAACAAATATAAACAACTAATTAGGGTACACAAATGGACCAAGCCCACAAATAGGCTTGGTGCAAATGCGCCATCACGTATAATGGATGGGTTGAGCTTTTGGTTTGAGCCCCATCTAGTGGTGTTAATTTACTCCTCGATCGAAACGTATGAATCTAACTTAAACGTTAAACCTTAATCATTAAACATTATAGCCTCGAGGTTTATTAGGTATCAAAAAATCCAACAAACCATTTATAAATAGAGATGAGGAAATAAATTATTTAGCATTTTAACTACTTAAATAATTATTTATTAAGTACTATAACTATTAACTTATTTACATGCAAGTAGTTTCAATTATGCTAGCTGTACATTGAAAGGGTACATTAAAGTTGACATGATGTGAATTGTCAAAACTTGTGTCATTCGTTATTTAGCCCATGTTTGGTAAACATTTTGGCCAAAAATGAGAATGTATTTTATGACCGTTGGGTACACAAGTCAAAATTATTATGAGATGAAAGTCAAACTTGTCATGTCATTTGGGGCCCACTAACGGTTTTTTTTTTTCTAAAAATGAAGGCAAAATGGGAAATAAAGTAGTGTTAAAATAAATGTAGAAAAAGTATGACTTCACGACAAGAGTCATGCTATGATTACATAGAGGTACATATAGGGGTTCACATAATGTGAGCGAGGGTGGGGCCCATGCTACAGTATCGCGAGGCCCACCCCACTCACATTATGTGAAACTTTATGTGTATATCTATGTACAACTAGAATAATCATCGCGACAATATCAAAACATGATCTATATATAGCTAGATTGAAATAGTTTTAACAGTAGACAGAAAGGCGCCAAAGCCGTACTAACCCTTATATATTAAACCGCCACCGCCATCTCTCTCACCCGCCGCTGCTATGGGGAAGCAGAAACAACAAGTGATTTCCCGCTTCTTTGCACCCAAACCCCAAACTTCGGCCGCCGTCACCACCCCTTCAAACACCGTCTCTTCCCCCTCTCCACCAACCCTTACGCCCAAAATCACCACCACTGTCACTTTCTCACCGGCAAAACGCCTCAGAAACACTCATCTCAGTTCCCCTCACAATAAACTAGCTAAACAAGCTCACCCCCAGAAGAACAGCTCTCCTACCCCAGCCTCACCCCTACCACCCATTAGAACCCCTGAATTTTCACCCCGCATTGATGACCCCGTTTTGCCCATACCCGACCCCACCCTTCACCAAAAGTTTCTCAATAAACTTCTAGAACCTACCCAAGATGCTTTAGAACCTTGGAAAGATAATAATAATAGCAAATTTTTGAACCCTAAATACACTCCACTTGAACAACAAGTAGTTGAACTTAAGGCCAAGTACCCTGATGTACTTTTGATGATCGAGGTTGGATATAGATATAGGTTTTTCGGAAAGGATGCTGAAAACGCTGCTAGAGTATTGGGTATCTATGCCCACATGGATCATAACTTTTTGACTGCAAGCATTCCCACTTTTAGGTTACACGTTCATGCTAGAAGGCTTGTGAGTGAAGGGTACAAAGTTGGTGTTGTGAAACAAACTGAGACTGCGGCAATTAAGGCCCATGGGAGTAATAAGTTGGGACCATTTTGTCGTGGATTGTCAGCCTTGTACACAAAGGCTACATTGGAGGCTGCAGAGGATTTGGGAGGTGGGGAGGAGGGTTGCAGTTCATGTAATAATTATTTGGTCTGTGTTGTGGAGAAGGTGGTCGAGAATGTAGAGAGTGGGATTGACGTGAGGGTGGGGATTGTTGGGGTTGAGATTTCAACTGGGGATGTTGTTTATGGGGAATTTGATGATAATTTTATGAGGGCTGGATTAGAGGCTATGATTCTAAATTTATCACCTGCTGAATTGCTTATGGGGAAGCAACTGTCTAAGCGAACTGAGAAGGTAATTTTACTTGGACTTTGTTTGTCATTTGGAAATGAAGTAGAAAATGTAAATATGAAGATGGTCAGTTTCTTTTTTTGTGTTGGGAAACAACATTAAAAGCAGTAGATTCTCGAGTGTTGTTTCTATTTGGAGAAAAACAGCATCGTATATTCGTTAACAAGCTCGATTGTTCCTTGTGGTCGTACTGTTGATTGACAATAACAGGCTATACGCAGAATAGAAGAAAATGAGTTGAGCTTGTTGCTTTGGATATCACTGCAAGTGTATTTGTAAGGAAGCAGGCCAAGATTTAACCTTTTTTTCCAACCTCAGTTAACTGGAGCTACTCCAGTTTAATCCCCAGACTTACCTTACAAGTAAATATGTATATGCCGCTAGGTTATTCTAGTTGTCACCTAATTTGCACAGCAGTTCTAGAACTTGGATCTTCACGGTGGTCAATGAAAACTAAGTAATTTCTCTTCTTATCCCCTGGGGCAACCTGGCTCCCCCCCCCCCCCCCCCCCCTTCCTTCCTTCTAAAATAGCCAACCCCCCCCCCCCCCCGGGCTCCCCCACCCACCCAAACTGGAGAATACTATTACTGATTGATTGGTTAGATTGAGTTCTGACTCATGCTGGTATAATTTGCTTGAGGTGGTGAAGTCTTCGTGTTAATGAATCGATATGTAATTTAATAGTAAAATTCAAGACTTCACCTATGGCACGTGGAAGAAAAGATTTCATTATTCTAAGATGCTTACTGCAATTACCAGAATTCTTATTTTCGCTATGAAATGGGGAATATTATTTGTAGGTCATGCATATATTCAAGTTTTTTCGCTTCAGAACCTTTTTCTTCACATCAAACTGCATGTGGCTTAGGATTGCTCATTGCTCTATTATTTGGGGGTTTCCAGAATTTTAAAGTTTCGTCTAAGGAGGTTTCCATTTCTACATCGAGGATTAATTAATTAAGTGAGTAGCATCTACCAGCTTCACCATACACCCTTGATGGTGCCACATGCATTTGCCCAATTTCAGTAGTGTTTGATATTGATAAGGTTAAGAAGCAATGCAGATTCTACTTCATTTAGGCTTTTAGAGGCATAATCGACTTAACCTAAATATTTTAATTCCTTTTCCTCCAAAAACATGCTTGAAGTGCCTTGTTCTATCGTTGTGAGTTTATATGGAAATAAACTATGCTGTCCCTTTTGTGCTTTTGACAAATTATTAGTAAGAAACAAGGCTTGTTTTAGCTTTGTATTTTTGATTCTTTATTCCACTTCTTTGTGATCTATTTATAAATGTTGGTACTCATTACATAATTAGAAAATGTGGTTATACATAAACTTGCTAGATTTCTCTTCAAACCTAACATAAGAGTGATATCATGCAGCCACTTAAATGAAATTTCATTTGACACATTGTCCCCGACCATTTTCTTTCTTACTATAATTTTGTTCACATAGCTGCTATAGTGAAACTTTTTCTTCTTTTCTAGTTACTATTAGCATATGCTGGGCCTGCCAAAAATGTTAGAGTTGAGCATGCTACACAAGATTGCTTCAGTGATGGTGGTGCCTTAGCAGAAGTAATGTCTCTATACGAGGACATGAATAAAAATAAGTCAGCAAATGGTTATCAAATGGAAGCTACAGAGGAGAGCACACAAGCCAGTAATTGCTTGGCAATTGAGGTGTGAGTCGCTCTTCATATTTTCTTTTAGCAAACTAAGTAACACTAAATCTTCTCTGTTTGAATCCCATCAAGAATCCCGTCGTGTGCCTAGATTGCTCATTAAATTTTGTTTTCTGGTCTATAAAATGCCTAATATAACTCCTTCCCTTTTCTTCTACATTTATTCTTTTGAAGGGAATTATGGACATGCCTGATTTGGCAATTCAAGCATTAGCCTTAACCATTCGTCACCTAAAACAATTTGGTTTTGAAAGAATTCTGTGTCTGGGAGCTTCATTCCGGTCTCTCTCAAGCAACGTGGAGATGACTCTTTCAGCCAATGCATTACAGCAATTAGAGGCGAGTGACATATTTAGTATCTGTTGAGCACATAATGTAAACTCATCTATGGATAATGAATGATAAGTTTATTTTACTTGTCTTTTGGCTCCTGCATGTAGGTTCTGAAGAGTAATTCTGATGGTTCAGAGTCAGGGGCCTTATTTCAGTGTATGAATAATACTCTGACCACATTTGGTTCAAGGCTTTTGAGACATTGGGTATGAAGCCTTGTTGGTTGTGCTTTATGTAAATGATTTCATTCCCCTCTGCTATAATTGTGTATCTATTGATGTATTGACAGATGAATTTCATTGTACAGGTAACTCATCCTCTATGTGATAGAAATATGATATATGCCCGTTTAGATGCTGTTTCAGAAATTGTCGAGTCCATGGGATCTGGAGAAGCTTCTCAGGATTTCGACCTTTATGAGGAAGACTCTGACATCATTTTCGTGCAGCCTGATATTCATCATATTTTGTCTTCTGTTTTGATCACATTAGGACGGTCACCTGACATTCAGCGCGGGATTGCAAGAATCTTCCATCAAACTGCTACAGCTTCTGAGGTAATGAATGGTTGCATTGAGTTCAATGATGTCTCTCATAGACACAACAGGATTTTCTAATATAATAGCTTGCACACACTTGTAAATAATCCAAAGAGCATGACAGGCACAGGAACCACTGAAGAAAATCAAGAAACACGAAATAGAATTATTATTTCATCTACTAAGATATTCCCGAAAAGGCAAAAACCAAGTGTCAGCATCCTAACATCTGACTGTACCTAAATCTACATTTATGCATTTCTACGGTTGCTTGCCTTAGTTTCTACAATTTCCAATGCAGACAGCAAGACACCTGTGTGCTAATATGCTCTATGCCCGGAATATGAGATGAAAAAAGTACATATATATATTAATTTCTTTTATGAGAAAAACAAAGATATTATAGTTCTAAACTGAAATAAGTTGGAAGGATGGGAGGATATTACCTTTATTCTCTTTATAAAGCAAACATGTTAAATTGAGCAACTTGAGTTTTACCTTTTTTTTTTGTTGTCTCATCTTGTTTTTCCCATTTTTTTTCTTGATTAAATACAATACTAATATTGAATTCTTTCTTTAATACATTTTGACTCTGGCTCTCACATTATATATTTTTATTTTCAGTACATTTTTTCTAACGTATTATTCCTTACACATTTACACTTATTAAATTACTTAAATATTTCTCCCCTATTTTTCAAACTAAATTATGCTAAGCATTTTCTGTAAGATGGCAATTATTTTCTACTTTTAATCTAGATATTGAAAATTGAATAAAAAGATAGTTTAAAATTGCATTTTAGAATATTTTTTTTTAAAGACCATATAAAGACATTCTGATAAAAAATTAATAAAATGATAATTTCTTTTGGTGTTATTCAATTAAAAAAACTTGGATTTGTAGTGGTGTCTCATATATTAAGCAGGTACATACGCTCTAAATTCGACAATGCATATCCTTTACACTATGTTTTCCACACCATTTATTAGGCGTCTACTAAAAAAACTTTGTCTGCTGTTTCATTAAATTTTTTCCCTCAAAATCTACAATTGCTGAAATTTTTGCATTTGAAAAATGTCTGGGGATAATTTGTTTAGGTGCTCTGCCAATTCTTTCGTCAATCGTGTACTTGTTGAAACTTTACATAGAAAGAATATGTACCTTATGCACAATTGTCCACATAAAAGGCTTTTAGACACATGGATTAAATAATGCTCAGGTATATAAGATTCCTGGATCAATCAATTATTAGCTACCACAACTAGATGTAACTAGTTATGGTGTGGTGAAATTCATATAGTCAACTATGGTGGCTATGAATATAATAGGTGCAGCAAAATCAGTTATAAAAAATAACAAATGAAGCTTAGCTGAATGGTAATGACTGGCGCTGACCGCTGAGGACAATAAAGTCTTAGGTTGTAATCTCACTATTTTGTTGGTTATTTAATTCTTTCTTGTTAGTTATTTGTCCACTATTCGTATAGTTCTTAAATTTCTCATCATGGTTATCTTCGCGTCCTTTGTCATGATCAGACCTTATTACATAATTGAGTAGAAAATAATTTTTGTATTGCACTAATATTGTACCATGCATGTAATTATGGCTTCATCCATTTATTAGTTATTGCATACTTATAATTTGTATTTATATGGTGCATTTCTAACTTCAGCTGTGAATCTAGTGACTGTGGATTTGAGGTCTGCACTTCAAAACTCTTTATCATAAATGAGATTTACATAAGTGGAGAATTTTTTATGTGATGGAAAGATTTGTAATATTGTAATTTAATTGACTCAAAAACTTTCAATCATATCTTGGGGGAAATAATAAGAATTTACTTCAAAGACTGTAGTTTGTCATGGACCAGACAAGACTCAGGTTATATAAATTGAATTGCAAAAGTTTTGGAACACAAAAGCTCAAATCTACCTGGATCCTTAGCCACTTTCATATGTAGTATAGATACATCTGCTGAATTTCTTCCTAAGCATGCTCCAATGATGTGACCTTTTATTGTTTCTTCTCCTCCCACCCTCCACCTTCCAAGTTGTTGCTTGAGTACTATTGGTGGATATGCATTTTCATTTTGCATCAGGAACTTGTCTTGTTTTGAAAGGTATTGGTGCCTGGATCACTAAAGTGCACGATATGTTTGATGAGCTTTATATTCATTAAGCTTTGGTGTTCTTCGACTTGGTTATAGCTCCCTATTTATTTTTGGGTCCTTTGCACGCAACAGTTTAATTTCATTGTAATGATAATAGGGGTCCTGCAATGAATATTTTTATTAATATCCTGAATCATTCAGGTGTCCATTATATATGTACCTGAAATTGTCTTTCACCATATCAGTTTGAATACCTTGGTACTAGTAACTGAAACTTTAAATCGCTAAGTTATCGACATCTTGAATATCTTTGGCAATTTTGTTTTTGTCAACTCAGTTCTTTGAAAGTATGTGATTAAACTTTCCTGTCTTGTCGATGGACAGTTTATTGCCATTATTCAAGCCATCTTAGCTGCTGGAAAACGACTCCAGCGACTTCAGATTGAAGAAGAGGACAAAAACGTACATACAAACATGAGAACTGTGCGCTCTGTGTTGTTGAGAAAGCTGATATCGACAGCTTCATCTTCTAGTGTTATCAGTACTGCTGCAAAATTTTTGTCTTCCCTAAACAAAGAAGCTGCCAGTCAACGGGATCTTGAAAACCTATTTATCGTTTCTGATGGAAAATTCCCAGAGGTTCAAATGAAGAGTTCGTCTGTTTCACCTAATTTTGCCTTATTTGGAACTCATCTTCAGTTATTATATCTAATTGTTCTTGATAATTTGCATATCTATAGGTTGCTGCAGCAAGGACCAAAGTCCAGTTGGCAAATGAGAAATTAGAGCAACTGATTGGTCTGTATCGCAAACAGCTGAGAATGAACAATATAGAGTTTGTGAATGTCTCTGGAGTTACACATTTGATAGAGGTAATTTAGTTAAAATTGAAATTTTGGTTGAAATTCTTTTCGTAAATCTTCAAATGATGCTTCACATAATTTAACTTTTATTTAATATCACCATCTTTTTCTGATCAGTAGTCTCTCAATATATTTGCAGAGCCACTTGGCGTGCCTTTGAAAATAGTGATAGTTAGTTTTCTTGGTATGTTCATCTGATGTTGCTAGCTTTATACCCCTAATAGATATTACTGCTGCTGCTACTGCAGTTGCCTTTAGATGTGAAGGTGCCTTCAAACTGGATGAAGGTAAATAGTACCAAAAAATCAATACGCTACCATCCACCTGAAGTATCAAGTGCTTTAGATCAGTTGTTACTGGCAAATGAGGAGCTATCTGTTGTCTGCCGAACTGCATGGGATAGTTTTCTAAAGACATTTATTGGACACTACTCTGAATTCCAAGCTGCTGTTCAAGCATTAGCTGCCTTGGATTGCCTATATGCACTTGCCATGCTTTCGAGGGATAAGGTTTATAAGAGTCATTGTGGAATCCTTGTTCTTCATCTCACAACATCTGATGTGAATAATCCTTCCTGCTTGATTTTTGCAGAATTATGTGCGCCCAGTTTTTGTGAGTGATGAAGAGCCTGTTCAGATACACATCACTTCTGGTCGTCATCCTGTACGTAATATAGATGATTGTTTGTTGCATATTGAATTGATTTTACAATGAGCAGTCATGAATTTATATTTTAAAAAGGTGCAAGAATATTTTCCTTAAAAAACTGGATAATATCATTTTCAGGCATGATTTGTTTTAAACATAAAGGATTGTGGTTGACTTGGTTTAATTTACATAAGCATGGAAATTTCTTTCTGTTTATATATCTCCCCTCTTGTGCGCTGTCCATGTGTTGGGGATGGGGGTTGATGGAAGGAGGAAGTTTAAGCGTTTTATGGTTTTGTATCATCTCACTGTCAGTGGGTCTTGTTCGAATAAATATCTCATTGCTTTATCCAACACAATCCCGATATTAATTCATATCCTGAAAATTCTGTCCAGGTCATGGAGAATATATTGCAAGAAAATTTTGTACCAAACGATACAAATTTGCATGCGGAAGGACAGTATTGTCAGATTGTAACTGGACCAAACATGGGTGGAAAGAGTTGCTATATTCGCCAAGTTGCACTTATAGCAATCATGGCTCAGGTAATGTATTCATGGCTTGCATTAATTTTGGAGCAGTAATTGCACCAATCTATCTTCAACTTCTTTTCTAGCATACATAATCTTTAGAAACACCAAACATAGACTTTACTAGGAAAGTGGTTGTGTCTACTAGACTCGTAACATGAGGCAAGTTTTGTCCGAGACTTATAATAAAAACTTGGTCTACAAACATGCAGACATTATACATTTATGGCCCTATTTGGTACACATTATTTTTTTCATTCTCATTCTTCTACTCATTTTTAAACACACATTCTTCAATAAAATAATATTTTCCATCACATCACTAACTTTTCCTTCATTTTTAACCACACATTCTCCATCAATCTACTATTCAATAATACATTCTTTCAAAAAAATGTATCCCAAACACACTCTATATATTTGATGTTTGTAATTTGTCATTTATGTCTTTGGATACTTGGTTCAAATAAAATATTTGGAAACTTATCACTTGAATCAACTAATGGGGATCCAAACATCTCACGGAGCAAAACATGTTATCACCCTGGTGTCTATTTGTGTTTTCCAGGTTCCATTTAGTTCTACGGATCTGAGTTGATTTGACCTAGTTGCAATCAAGTTTTTAAACAGTGTTCTACTGATCCATGTGCATGCTAGCCTGTGGGTTTTGTGTATTCTTCCTCTCTTTCCCCAACACTTTTCTGCTTCCCCTGTACCTCGTGATCACCACCATCATTGTTTCTCCCATCACTTGCGAATGACGAGTTAATTTTTCTGAAACTCTTTAGATACTTTTAATGTTATTTTTTCTATTTGCTGCAACTTTAAAAATGTCCCAGGGGAAACAGTGATCCTTTATGAATTATCGCGCATTAACAGGCGCAATCATTATATGTCAAGCTGTCTCTAAGGTCCTGAGCAATTGATTGTCACCAATTTTGTTTTTCAAGACCAATGATCACAGCAGATGCTTTTCTGCAAAATCCTTCACAATGTTTTGTGATGTTTAATATGCATTATGGCAAGCTTTCATGGTGGTTCATTTGTTAGTCTTGAGGTGATTTGGTGGTTATGGGTAGTTGGTCCAGAGGGAAATAAGGGGGTGGTCTGCAGGGGCCAATCTAACCCCATCCCCGAAATGCATGGAAACTTGTGCTGAAGAATGTTGGTAGTCTATTATGTTTCAATTAGCAATAGGAGAAGCGGCTTATCAAATGTTTGATGCCAATAAGAGATTAAAAGGGAGCTCATTATCTGCTTATAATTTAGGACACTTGTAAACTTACACTTTCGAAAATGCCACTTTGGTAGTTGGTGGGATAAAACAAGAGTGACTACTCCATCCCATATCAAATTTCTCTGTATACAGTTCTCTCTCTATCTCATGTTCACGATTTTTATTATTACTTCGAGATAGGCTAAATTCATCAAGTTCAGAAATTGTGAGCTTTGACTTCTATAAATTCTTGTAAGTTTTCTCAGGTTGTACACATGCTTCAACCAACAAATAAAGTTACAACATTTAGCACCGAAAGGAAATGGTAAATCAATTTACACGATACTAGTACAAACTTGCATGTACTCAAGAAATAAGCATACCCAAAATTCTTGCCTTGCCTTACCAATCCCCCAAGAACAGATACNGGGGGGGGGGGGGGGGGGGTTGCTTACAACGTATTCTTGGATATGAGCCACCTCACTGCGTTTTAAGTCTCCGTTGCACTTATTCTAATGTTAATTGCATGTAGTTGTAAATTTGTAATCTATGAATATCATGGTTGTCAGTTATTTTTCTGACTGGCACTTTGAAAGGTTGAAGTATTATGTCTGATTTAATTGTTTCTTTAGTCAGAACGAAAGTATCACACTGGCTGAGCTTCATCATATTATGCTTCTGATGTATAGGTTGGTTCTTTTGTACCAGCATCATCAGCAACACTGCATGTGATGGATGGGATTTACACACGAATGGGAGCTTCTGATTGTATTCAACTGGGAAAGAGCACCTTCTTAGAAGAAATGAGCGAGGTGTCTCACATTCTTCATCATTGCACGTCCCGTTCGTTGGTTATAATTGATGAGCTCGGTAGAGGCACAAGTACACACGATGGGGTAGCAATCGCTTATGCCACATTGCATTATCTTCTAGAGCGTAAAAGATGCCCAGTCCTCTTTGTCACACATTACCCTAAAATAGTCGAAATCAAGAAGGAATTTCCAGGCTCGGTTGGAGCTTACCATGTCTCGTATCTGACATCACAGAGCAAGCCAGACGTTGACTTGATTTCTAGTCAGAAAGTGGACAGTATGGATTATGATGATGTCACCTATCTTTACAAACTCGTACCTGGTGTTGCAGAGAGAAGTTTTGGATTTAAGGTTGCTCAGCTTGCACAGGTTAGCTTGCCCTCTCTTCTCAAGGAACTTATTTGTGCAAATCACTTCATTGCAGTTGGGTTGAGTATACTTTGATAGTTAAATTTGGCATTGTTCATATGGAAACAATTGCTTAACCAGCCAAAAATATTCTGATCTTGATAATTGATAAATAATGAACACTGTAAATTCTATCTTTTCTATCTATTAGATTCTGTGAAGTAATCTATGACATCTTGGGTTCTTGCATCTCTGTTCTGGCTGTAAAGATTGGGTAAAAACCATTGTTGGTACCTCCACTTTATGCAAAAGTTCAATTTAATCACCGAACATTTTTTTGTTCCAACTTTACCACTCCAACTTTTCTTTCTATTTCAGTTACACCAAGAAGGCAGCTTCCAATAGCAAACTTAACCAATTGTCCAATGTGGCCGATGGAATATACAGCATGGCAATCAGCCACATAGGACAATTCGATAATTTTACTGCTGGAAGTTGACTTCGTGATGCAAGTTAAACAGAAATGAGAGTCGAGTTGAGTGGCCAAGTTGAATAAAAAAAGTTTTGTCACCATAAGGAAACTTTATTGAAAGTCGAGTGGTCAGCCAACAGCTTTTTTAATCCATAAAGATTTGCCTGGCTTTGTTTTTCATAATATGCTCATGCTAATGGTTATTGCAGCTACCAACTTCTTGTATTAAACGAGCCATTTCTATGGCTGCAAGGTTCGAAGTAGAAGCATGCAACAGAGAGAACCACAGGTTTCTAATGAACTTTTCAACTGAAACACTGCCCAATAATAAAGCTTGCGAGGTAGAAAAGGCTCTCTCTATATTTTCTGATAGCACGGACGCAGATGGAGTTGAAAACTTAGAGAAACTTGAAAATGCTTACAAGGATTTATTCTCAAGACTAAATTTGAGCCTCCACGAAGATGTTGGAAAGAGTTTTCACACGTTGAAGTACTCGCAAAACCTTGCCTTTGAATTGATGAAAATAGGTAAAAGAAGTATTTATCTAGTCTTTCTTGTACTCTATTCATACGAACACTTGTATTGTTTTAGTGAAGTAAATTTCATCAAATTCCTGAAGTTATGAAAACAACCACGATTGGCACATCTTCGATTAGCTGACGTTTCACTAGTACCAAACCTTCTGAAATGGATGGTGCTATTTATTTATTTTTAAACCATTCATTTCATCTTATTATTTTTAACTTGGTCCATTTTCCATTTCTAGATGAATGCAGGCTTTGAAAGAGAAGAGAAGTGGCAGACACTTACCGAAGATCGATCCCTTTGAATTTATGTCGTGTATCACACCTTTACTCATATATATAATTTGTGTGCAAAGAAAATTGGTGGCGTGTTGTAGATTTATGAGATGTGAGGTGTTCCAAATCTATATTCCAATTTGCTTCAATTCATCTGTTAGCCTTGTTTCTTCAGTTTTGGATGCAGAGGAATAGGAGGGAGATTTGAGTATATACAGAGATACAGATGGATGATTTCGATATTTGTTGGTATTTGCAGATGGAAGATAATGAATGTAAGATGTGGCTATCGAGTTTGTGGCATGTTCATATGCTGATGTAAATTACTACCAGTTGTTAATGCTAGATCGAATTTGAACTCCTTGAAAGTTAAATCTTCTGCAGTACCTCGAAAACTCAACAATATTGATCGGCTCTTAACCAACTGGTGTAATGTATATATATCTTAATAAACATCTCCATATGTTCCACCTAGATGGCTGATCTTCACATTTTAGTTTATCAACAGTTTATTACAAATCAATTTTCCTTTTTGGCTTCTTCCAAAAATTCTTGTACTAGAGCTGAGAAGGGATTGGGCGAACAGGAAGACGTGGCCGTTGCTGCAAGAACAATTTTTGTTAATAAATCTCTGAAGAAAATAAGAATCGTTACAATTTTATTTTATTTATTTTTAATCTTTGGAAAACATAAAGATAATCTGCAACTGATACAATATCGTGATCATCCTCGAGTTAGGAATAAACTCGTTCAGATAGGCGAATGTTAATGTGGATATTGGTGGAGATTCTTTGATCGGTAGATGATGCCCGTTAGGGTTGCACACAAAAAATCGCGGAACAGCAAATCAAATTGAACTTGTTGGTTTGGAGCCATGTGAATTCGTGATTTTCCCACTCTCAAACCGAACCAAACCATTTCAAAAGGTTTGGTTTAGGTTTTGATTTTTAAAAACGACACAAAATCGAATCAAACCGTTTCAAAATGGTTCAATTTTTGTCTATGAAACTTGCTGCTGTTACCTAAGAATTGATTAGAACCTCGGATTCCCTTTTGGTCGTTGAAGTATTTTTTCATCTACCTATATTGTTTGTGAAATAATGTTAATGCAATCTTTGTGATATTTACTGTGTATTTTTACCCAAGAAAAGTGAATAACTACTGCATCCTATGTGTCATTTGTGATATGGTAACTTGTGAAACAAATGTAAATATATTCATGAGTGACCTTCCCATTGTTAAAATTGGCACCGCGATTTTTTTAACAATTTGCATTTGATTCTCTTCTAGAAATTGTCATTTTTAGGTTTTGTTTTTGTTGTGTACGGTGGTCTGTGGAGTGGGAAAACATGCAATCTATTTTTGTGAGGAATGATTTGGATGGAGAAAATTTGCAATTCGATAGCTAAACTGTGGATTAAAACCGAACGAAATCGCAAATAATGGTTTGATTTGATTTGAAAAACAAAATGGTTTGATTTGATTTGAAAAAATTCCAAATCACGTAAAATGATTTGAATTGAAAATATAACGCAAATCACCCAAATCGAACTGCGTTCACCGCTAGATTACGTGTGTGCAGGATATTGTTTATCTATCGCCTGATAAACCACGCAAGAGGGACACACAAATTGCTAGATTGCATGTGTACAGGATATTGCTAATCTATCGCCTGATAAACGAAGCAAGAGGGACACAAAAAATCACGTAACTGTTTGGCGTTTTGCTTTTTTCATTTTAATCCGTTCTGCCAAGCTTAGTCTCTCATGTTGGAAAATGGTTAGATGGTGGAATCAAGCTTCCTCTTTTCTTGTCTACTCGAGAGAATAAATTCTTCTACTGTAGAATCTCGACTAAGGCTTATTAAACTTGTTCTAGTTTCCATCTTTAAGTAGCCGGCTTAAACAGGGAAAATGGGATGAACCGGTTCTCGTGGTGCAGTAAGAACAAAGAAGACAACCAATGTCCACAAATTTCAACAGGCTTAGTTTCATCTCAATTATGTCAACTTCTATTTGGTTCAATGCATAGCTGACATGCTATAAACATTTCCCATCCAGCAACAAACTCATGGACAAACATCACTTTTTTTTCCCATGGTAACTCAGAATCCAAGTGAACTTCGGCCAACCTGCAGACAAATTTTAAATTCAAATATTTTCAAGCTTCACTCATTATGTGAAAAATAAACAAAAGAGTCCAAGACATAACGGAATTCTGTTGGAGATTCGAACCCTGGCTTAATTGTTACCTTAAATTTTCAGCCTAAAGTCGTATTTCTGGGAAACACGGTTTTATTTAATAAGCTGGTCTTTTAATCTGCTGACATCTGTCTTCACTGCTGGCCGTTGGATGAAATCTGGACTGAGATATAAAAACTTGAAATCGACTGTTCACCTCACTTTTTCTCATTCTCACGATTAGGATTAAGGTTTCGAGAGAGTTCTTTGTACTTAGGGTTTTCGTCTGATTTGTTCATTGTAAATCCTTTATTCTCTTTCATGATTTACGAGTGTTAGCCTTAGAATACTTGATTTCCAAGTGTGGAAATCTGCTAGTTGTTGGATTCTGTTTGCTGTAGTTGATGATAGCTCTGATCTGGTGATTCTTGTGTGATTCAACCAAGATTTGTTAAATCTTTGAATAGATAAGTCTCTAATATGTATTTTTTGTGTTGATTGAACTCCTTGTAACCTTCGTTGCTAGTTTGAAGGCAGTATAGTACAATCGAGCGTTATCCTTTTGTGGATGCTCAATAGAGGAGTAGGTTTGTACCGAACCTCTGGGGCTTAGGTCGAAAAATCTCTTGTGTTCATTTATTTTTCTGCAGTTTTAGTTTTTTGTCATTTTAAGTTTCTTGTATCTTGACCCAAATACTTGTGGGTCTTGGCCTTTCAATGGTATCAGAGCTTGGACTGATAGTAAGATATCTGGATCTTCGAAGAAAGCTATATGATCTGTTGCAGATCTAAAAATTTTGGAACTGCAATTAAGCAGTATTTAAGGACACTGAGTTGAAAAATATTCGCTGGGTGAGATCTTTCTAATTTCTGAAAAGTTTAATTTTCTATACTGGACGTTTCTTGATATTTCCCTTGATTTACCATACACAATACCCCCTGAAAACTAATCTTTGTCCAAAGACTCCTACGAGGTCTTGGGAATCTGAGATAAATCTAGTACAGGTGTGTATTAGGAGAATCTTGTAGGAGAAATCACTGAAACTTAGCTTGTGTGATCT